TTTATTTATCTGCAAAGTGAAGGGGACCAAAGAATGTGTTAACTACCAACTTTTAAGATTTCTGTATATTAATTGTTCTTTAATTGCCATTTATAATAACTTATACAAATGCATTATAATCCATATCTATAATAATAAAATCAATATTTTGAATAATGGATGAAATTATAAAGATTCAACTATTTCTGTTAGCTTATATGTTTTCTTTTATGTTTAGAGTAAAAGTGAGAGTTAATCCAAAAATGATTTTATTTTTTAAGTCATTATTCTAGGATTGTTTTGTTTACATGTGTTACCACCTTTATCCTTTCCACTTCTAACTATGTATTCTGGTACTGATTTTTTTCACATATGGATAAAATATTATTTGTGATAAGGCAAAATATTTGGTTTAGAAGTTTCTTTGACATATATGTAGATTTATCAATAATTTTTTTCTATGTACTTTCAAAGATTCCTATAGTATTAGACATTTTGAAAAATGAGATGTCTGTAATTACCTTCATGTGGTTAGTTTGGTCTGTTGCATGGCCTATGGCCTGGTCTATTAATATTTATAACAAATTCCCATGGGATGCTGATGCTGCTGGGTAGGGGACTTCCCTTTAAGTAGCAGGGATATAGACGACTCTGGATTTGCAGTTTGACTTTATCCATTGCAGGTCTGTACGAGCTTGGACAAGTTTCTTAGTTTTTATGTCTCTGGATTTGTTCATCTGTGAGATGTGGAGCATTATAGTTCCTATCTTCCTGGATTGTTGTACAGATTCAATGAGATGATGCACTTAGCCTGGTACCTAGCACATGGTAATGAGTGAATGAAATGTTTACTATAACTATGGTAAAAACATATTTTGATGAGGGATGATCAGGTTTGAGAGATGAGGCTAGAATGTCAGCTGCTGGGAAAATGGAATTTGAATCATTTCCCAAGTCTTTTAGATTTAATTCTTTGCACAAAAAATTTGGATCAGCAGAAAAAAATAAATCACTGGCTTTAAACCATATTTCTTAGCGTGAAGTACTAATTGAAAGGGATCACAAAGGAAAGTTATGGAAATACTTTTGTGTTTTATTGACCTTTGGTTTGAAGTAATTTCAAAGTTTAAAAAGAAATGTATAATTTTCCACATATGATATCTGAGTTTGTCTTAATTCAACAAGTTTTTACTGGGTACTATAATTCCTTCTCACTGAAGGTATGTGGTGATTGACGGTAAGCAGGCAGTGGTGAGCAGAAATACTCTATGAAAGAGGTGGTAAATAAACACTTTGTCCTCAAGGAATTTATAACCTAATTTTGAATAAGATAGGACCTCATGAAATAGTTACATGAAATGCCAGGCAGGGTCTAGCTAGGAGCCAAGACGAGAGGTACAGGTAATATGTCCTCTCAGGTTATGACAGGCTGGTAGAGTCAGTGACCACTTGAAGGCCAGGCGGGATTGCATGGGGAATTTCCCCCAAGTAGCAGGAGAAATAGCTTTAAAAGGGATGAAATTGAGCAAATGAACACAGAATGGGTTAATTTAACCAGGGGTGGAGAAAACCAGGCACTGTCAAAACGATGCCTGTAAGTAGCCCTCAGAAGAGTAAATTCCATTTTTCAAGCATGCATGTTGTGACACATTTTCTGTCTTTTATTTTGATTTTGCAGGTGACACTGAAAATGCTAAAGTAGCCTAAAATTCAATAATTCTGAGTGATAGGGGGTCTGGTTTTTAAAAACTCACAGCATCCACTTACTTTGAAAACTATCAGCAGATTCAATATATTCTATGCAAGATGGAAAATCCTGCTGACCTCCCAGTCATCAGAGGGATGAGCTGGAAAGGACAGGAATTTTCCTCATCTTTTCCTCTCAAGTTAGAAAGGCTGAGACAGACCATGGTTGTGGCCAGCAAGGGAGATGTGCAGGGAAAGTTGGCTTTGGGTCTTGGATCTTGGAGAGGGCAATTATTCATCACTTGGGCTGCAGTTACAGACAACTTTTTCTGAGGGTTGACAGGAGGACAAGTGAGAAGAGCATTCTGATCAGGCCATCCATCTCCTGTGCCTGGACCAGCATGTGACTATTAGTGCACAATGAAGAAAACTGCTAGTAGCCAGTCTGAAAGCTGTGTTCCGGGGTGAAGTCCAAGTTGGTTCAAATTCAGTTCACCACCGAAGCTGTGTGGGTTGTCTTTTTGATGCAGAACGAGACCCGCCACACCTAATCTCTGCCTGTAACACAACTGCAGTTACATCAGATGATAATACTGAAGTGACTAATGACTGTGACCTCATTAAAAGAGACAAGAGACAACCTCCCGCTGATTATAGGCATAGTAGTCACCATGAAGACAGGCCTGGTTGGGTCTGTCACTCATTTATCTCATTCTGGTTTTTAGATTGCCAGAAGAGGAGATTTATGGGAAATTTCTGAGACTTCTCTTTCTCCCTGGGAGCTAATCTGGCTCACAGCCCTCCCTGCGAAGCACCCACTCCTGGTTAATTGCCTTAGCAGTCAGACAGGATTAGTGCAGACCTTGCTTCTTGGAGCCGTCTTTCTTTATGAAAGAAAATGCTGCACAGTTTTGGTGCACTTTGTTCTTCCTCTATTGTGTAAATTAACTTTGATTTTAGACATTTTGGTAGGTGGAGGCCTGGGAAGTTTTACAATAAAAACCACAAAAGCACTTCTGTGTCAACTCCTCAATTATATGTAAGTTTATGTGCAGGGAATCCCACCAGTTTCTAGTTAGGTCTGGAAGGTCCCTCCCTGACCCCAGTACTGGCTGACTTCCCTGCTGCCCAACCACAGTTAGGGCTTCTCCTCTTCAACTTTGGTTGCTTTTAATTATTCTTTTTGACGTCTCTGCCAATAGACTGGCTCATGAGGGATGCCTATATATTTCTGTGTTTACCAAAGACCATCACCTACCTTATTTACATCATCCATGTGTCATTTAAGTTAAGCTCCTCAGAGTCAGACCTAGCAGTCTCCCAGTAAAGTTTTAGCAATGGGCATACAAGAGAAAATAAATGCATGCCTTTGTCTGTAAAGGCAGTAATACACATATGTAAAATACATATTTACATAGGAATAAATATATATTTACATATGATTATGTATATGTATATTTGCATATATAAATATAATTTTTACCAATTTTTGTGGATAATTCAGAATAAAAAGCATATAATTTTTATATAGAGATAAACATATATTTATAAATAAATAAATATATCAAAGCATAATTTTATATTTATATATAATATATTTACATATAAATACTAGAGGCCTGGCGCACGAAATTTGTGCACTCAGGGGGAGAGGGGTGTCCTCCAAACTGTCCTGCACCCTCTTGCAGTCCGGGAGTCTTCAGGGGATGTCCAACTAATGACTTAGGCCCATTCCCCCAAGCCATCAGTTAGACATCCTTAGCACTGCCCCGGAGGTAGGAGAGGCTCCTGCCAACACTGCTGTGCTCACTGCTGCTGTGAGCCCAGCTTCTGGCACAATGACCACCGGGGGCAGCTCCTGTGTTGAGCATCTGTCCCCTGGTGGTCAGTGCACATCATAGCAACTGGTCGTTCCGCCGTTTGGTTGATTTGCATATTAGGCTTTTGTTATCCAACAGAGGCCCATTGCAGGAAGATTCCTGCAAGAATAGGACTTCACTCCCACCTCTGCTGCCTCAGCTCCCTCCCGCCTCCCGCTGCATCACCGCCTCCCCCTGCCGCCTCCCGCCACCACCTCTTCCTCCTGCAGCTGCCTGCCGCCTGCCACTGCCCCCCACACCCCCGCCACCCGCTGTGCCCCAGCTCTGCTCCCACCTCCCGCCTCTGCCTCCTTGGCTCCGTTCCTATCTCCACCGCCTCTACTTTGCTCCCTTCTGCAGCACTTGGCTTCCTTCTATGTTGTCTTCAGTCTTTGCTCCCAGCCGGTATATGCAAATTAACCACCATCTTGGTTGGGTTAATTTGCATATAGTCACTCTGATTGGCTGGTGGGCGTAGCGAAGGTACGGTCAGTTAGGATCTTTGTCTTTTATTAGTGTAGATATAATAAAAGCCTGATATGCAAATTGTCCCTTTGACCAGAGCTCCGCTGGGAGTTTGACTGCTTGACCAGTTGCTATGATGCACACTGACCACCAGTGGGCAGATGCTTCAACTGATAGGTTAGCTTGCTGTGGGTGCTGATGGGCTGGACTGGAAAGTGAGGTGTGAGCTGAGAGTCATCAGGAAGCTCCCAGGGTTTGGCCCGAGCCCCAGGTGGAGGCGGGCGGGATGGGACCCCAGAGGGGCTGGGTGGTGCTGGAGGCTGCTACATGTTATCTGAGCACTGTGGACTGCACAACCCTCCGCATCTTGTGGCATTCTCAGTGCACAATTTATAATCTTCAGAGCTGCTTCTTTTTATTTGTTAAGTTTCACTAGCTACTCCAGGAGAGTGGGTAGCACCATTAAGGGGGGCCAGGCCAGGCCAGGTGTGCCTGCCTGGGGCCAAGGGCCAGCCTCAAGCTCCCAGGATGCAGCAGAGAGGGGGGGCGGGGCTGATTTAGAGAAACCAAGTCCAAAACTTGAAAAGAAGCAGGAGGCAGCAAGGGGCAGATGGTGACAGCTGCGCAGGGGCCTTGAAAAGCTTCTGGGTGGGGACAGCTGAGGAGCCTTGCCTCTCCCACAGGACAGGCTCCACGTCCCTCCCTTCTTCTCCCTGTGACCCATCGCCCCAGCTCTCCTCTGAGGCCCTGTTTGGGCTCACCCCGCACAGCTCCACACCACTGCACTGCCCACACAGCCCCGCCCTGCACAGTCTTTGTGGAGCTCTGCTCCCGGAGGAGAAAGGGGGGTGCTGCAGACAGG